GAGAGAGAGAGAGAGAGAGAATGAGAGACATTCCCTCTGTATAAAATATAACATAATTATTCTAATAAATTATATTATTTAATAATACAAAAAGTTGATTTAGTTGGAGATAATAATTATTAAATTAAATTTCTACATTAATTAATATTTGTCTGCATAAAATTAAATAATCTAATTTTACATGGTGAAAAATATAATCCTATGTATTTGATTCTTATTTTAAATATAAAGTATCAAAATAATCAGTGAATGTCGCCATATAATAAAATGAGAGGAAACTTCTGTTTTCCTTCTTACAATTTAATTAAATTCCTCTTCCTTCTCCTAATAGTATGTGACAAGTTTTAACTTGTTTCATTTGATCAGTTAGTAGTTGAGTTTTATCGATTCTTTTTTAAATTTGTTGTAAATATTAAATCACAAACTACGTTAACATAGATAGCAAAATTACTGTATGTGATTATTCGTCTTCGTCATATTTGGCACCATGCGACTTCTGTTGGCTCTTTCCCAAAGTAAAAATAATAATAAAAGAGAGGGAAGCGTTTTAGTCAATTTCTAAGATCGACGCAGCCATGACAGCGCAATTAAAGACACAAAAAAAAAAAATTACTAATACTATTTTAAAAAGTAGCCAGAACGTTGAAATAAATGAGTGAAAATATTTTAGGTAAATATTTTGAGGACTAATTGCAGTTTGTATTTTTTATTTTAAATCTATTTTTATTCAGACATTCTGTACTTTTTCATCACACGTCGTATATGTAACTGTATAATATAATTATACACTCCTCACAACAATTAGGCCGGCGTCCCATGAAGCGGATTACGCGGAAGCGGACTAGCGGATCGCCAATCACGGAATCGTTCCGATGGAGCTCATCGATAAGTTCTATCGGAACGATTCCGTGATTGGCGATCCGCTGGTTCCGCTTCCGCATAATCCGCCCCATAGGACGCCGGCCTAGAGGATCACTTAAATTTAAAAAATTGACAAAATTCAGTCAGCTGTAACTTCGTTGAAAATGAACCAAATTTAAATTTAAAAAAGATTTTTCAAGCTTGAAATCTCTACTTTCGAAAGATCACTACTGTTTTAAAGTTTCTGTAAGTTTGGTAATTTTTACATTTAGAAAACTACGAACTGGACAAAATTAGAAAATTTCTTTCTCACTTTGCGGACCTGTTCCGTGTGTAAAAAAATCTACGACATTTGTCAACTCTCCGGTATGAAAGCTTAAAATTTTCTTAACGAAATCGTTTTCTTATCGCCGATTAAATGAAAAATGAGCATGTTGACTTTAATTGTTTATAACTCTGTTAAAAGTAATCGTACCACAATTTGAAAAAAGATTATTAAAGCTGAAACTTTGCTCTATCAAACGCAATAATTGCCAAAATTTTTACGAAAACATAGGCTGGTTACAAATGAATAAAAATAACGTAAAAATTACCAATTTTTCTTTTTTATTTTGACCTAAAACAATTGTATAGAACAACAACAAAAATTTGTGCTTCACGTTTTATTCTATTTTTCAGTACCCTGAATTTGACAAAAATTCAGCGAATAGCTACAAATTTTTTTATGGTGGTCACTATGTTTTTATGCTGTAAGAAGTTGTAAAATTACTTTGAAAAAAGTGAAAAATAAAGTCAATAAAAATTGATTTCCAATGACACTACATTGTCAGTATCTAAAGTTGTTACTAACAAGGAACGATCGGAAGTGGACTCTCATCGATTTTAATGAACTTGGAATATGTTTCAGAGTATTGAAAAATATTAAACCCGTATTTTTTTAAGCTGCGTATCTCGACATTTAGAAAATCGATTTTTTTTATTTCTGAGCTAATACCGTCGAAACGGTAAAATATATAAAAATATGTTTCAAATAAATTTTATGGTTTTTAATGTTCTTTAAAACAGTGTAATCAAATTTTTCAAAAATGTCAAATTCCCCCCCCCCTCTCGATAATTTGGATTGTACTGTTTTAAAGGACATTAAAAACCATAAAATTTTTACAATATTTAAAACATTTTTATATCTTATACCGTTTCGACGTTATTAGCTCAAAAATAAAAAAAACTGATATTTTCAAGGGAGTGTTTTACCCCATAAATGTCGAGATACGCAGCTAAAAAAATACGGGTTTAATATTTTTCAATGCTCTAATACATATTCCAAGTTCATTAAAATCGGTGAGAGTCACTTCTGATTGTTCTCTTGTAAATGTAAGTGTATAACTGACAGAATCAAAATAATTAGGGAAACGCTCTAAAGTTTGCAAAATTTGATAATTTTTAAAAAGCCATATCTCCGCTTAAAAAGGTCATAGAACAATGTTTATGAGCTGATCTTAACGGATAAATCATTTAAAGAGAGATAGGTTTCATTATTTGTCTCATCAAAATGTTTTTCGTGTAAAACCTAAAATCATCAAAACATTCTGGAAATTTCATGACTTCGTAGCCGTACACAAAAAAACAGGGATAAAACCAAAAATGCTACTATGATTGGTTTTGAAGTGGGAATCTACGAAGGTCATGAAATTTCCAGAATGTTTTGACGATTTTGGGCCTCATACGAAAAACATTTTGACGAGACAAATAATGAAATCTAACTCTCTTTAAAGGATTTACCTGTTAAAATCAGCCCAGAAACATTGTTTTATGACCTTTATTAAGCGGAGATATGGCTTTTTTTAAATTATCAAATTTTGCAAATTTTAGACGCTCCCCTAATTGTTTTGAATCTGTCAGTTGTACACTTACACTTAGTAACAACTGTAGGTACTGACAATGTAATGTCATTGGAAATCAAATTTTTATTGACTTTACGTTCTATTTTTTTATTGAAATTAAGTAATTTAACTTCTTCCAGCATAAAAACATAGTGGCCACCATGAAAAAATCTTGTAACTATTCGCCGATTTTGTGTCAAATTCAGGGTACTGAAAAGTAGAATAAAACGTAAAGAACAAATTTTTGTTGTTCTATACAATTGTTTTTTTAGGTCAAAATAAATAAAGAAAAAAAATTGATAATTTTTACGTTATTTTCATTCATTTGTAACCAGTCTATATGTTTTCATAAAAATTCTGGTAATTATTGCATTTGATAGAGCAAAGTTTCAGCTTTAATAACCTTTTTTTAAAATTGTGGTAAAGTCAACATGCTTATTTTTCATTTAATCGGCGATAACTCAGTAATAAAAAATCGGAAAAACATTTTTAGAAAACGATTTCATTAAGAAAACTTCAAGTTTTCACACCGGAGAGTTGACAAATGTAGATTTTTCTTACACACGGAAC